AAGAGGCTGGCCATGCACTCGCAAGCCATCTGGATATCGACAAGGTTGCATTCACCGGCTCGACTATGACAGGAAAGCAGATTATGAAGACTGCCAGCGTCAACATGAAGAACATTACTCTCGAAACTGGTGGCAAATCTCCTCTGCTAGTTTTCGAAGACGCTGATATCGAGCAGGCAGCGAAATGGGCGCATGCCGGAATCATGAGTAACATGGGTCAGATCTGCACGGCGACCTCGCGTATCCTCGTCCAGGAGACCATCTACGATGAATTCGTAGGAAAGTTTCGGGAGGAGGTCAAGAACACCAGCAAGGTAGGCGACCCCTTCGAGGAGGGCACATTCCAAGGCCCTCAGGTCACCAAGGCGCAGTACGAGAGGATCCTGAGCTTTGTGGAATCAGGTAAGTCGGAAGGGGCCACGCTGACGGACGGAGGTATCCCCTGTCCGCTCAATGGCAAGGGTTACTTCGTCGCGCCTACCGTCTTCACCAACGTAAAGAATAGCATGAAGATTTACCGAGAGGAGGTGTTCGGCCCTTTCGTCGTCATCGTACCGTTCAAGGCTGAAGACGAAGCAATCACGATGGCGAATGACACCACCTACGGGCTTGGCTCAGCTATTTTCACCCAGAACCTCGAGCTTGCTCATCGCGTCGCTGCGCGCATCGAGGCGGGTATGGTCTGGATTAACTCTTCCAATGATTCCGACTTCAGAGTTCCGTTCGGAGGCGTGAAGCAGAGCGGTATCGGTCGAGAACTAGGAGAAGCTGGTCTCGCCGGGTACATGCAAACCAAGGCCATTCATGTGAATCTAGGTCAGAAATTGTAAGAACATCAGAGTCTAGGTATCGGTCTCGGAAAAGTACGGCAGATCAATCATATAATGATATCAACTGTTGGAGCTTGATAGTCTAGGTCAACTTAATCCATTTGTGTTAGATCAATCTGACATGTTTCCTCCCATAGGATGAGGTGAGAGCCCCCATTGCTAGGTGGGGAAGGATTGCGGCATTAGGAGCTTAAAGCTGCATTTGCTTGGTTCGGCTCCACACGAGGATGGAAGCAGGATGGGAAGGAATACAAATATATGCGAATATGAGCTGCGTGTTCCTTGGAAGTCTGCTGTTCCTGACATAACAGTATGATAAACATGTCATCGCCTGAATTACATACCTGAATTACATACTTGAACTGGGATTCTTCGGCTCGATTATTGAATCCTGGTCTTTGACGTCGCTCGTGATTCGTCAATTGGTCCATATTACATATTGTGGCCTCCTTTTCGTACATAGTACATAGGGCTCAACTAACATCTGCAAGTCAGCAATCATGATCGCCTTATTATATCGTGATTATGTAGAAGTTCGAATTTTGACATGTGCTCGGTCCCAGAGCTAAACTCTGTATTTCTCGCGCGATCCCACGGGCTGGAAGGTTGTCATGCATTGCCACGCGGCTGCACGCGTAAAATTAACCCACGAACGGGGCTAATTGCTACCTGCTAGCAGGGTACGTTTGTTAACAGTCTTCCCGTCTGACGGGGAGGCTTTTCCAAATCCTCTTCGGCACTTGTGCCTGCGATGTCAACGCTAGGTAGCTAACTACCGGCGAACAGACATCGACGACGCCATGTACCGCATGTCGTTAGGTAACTTGAATAAATACTAGCTTAAATCGTCGTGGGCGTGGAATATCCGGCGTCCGTCTTATGGGCTGATTTGCCTGGCCGAGTTTTGGGCCGTTACACTAAGATATATTGGCGTCTTCCCCAGATGATGATGGTGATGCTACCTCATACCGGTATTGGCATGGAGTACATATGTAGTACAGGCTTTGGTGGCGTTGGTATGCTAGGTTAGGTACATATGCTACCTATACTACATATGTATACATATGAGGTAACTACCTGCCTTGGACCAATCGGGTTAGTCCATATAGGGTAAATCATGGGGTGATGATCCTTTCCGCATTTCATTTGGTACAATCCTACACGAGATACACGAGAGTCGCTCTAGGATCTTTTTTTAATGAGCTGTCCCGAAAAAAAACATCACCCCTGGCACCGTTTATGTGCCATCGCGACCCGTGGGAAGCAAAGATTAGCCGAGTGGGCAATTATTCTTGATCCTTTAATACATAGCAGATGAGTAGATGAGAGAAGGGGACCTGCATTAATTAATGAGCCAATCAAGCATACCAATCTCGTTAAGCACATACTGCATAGAGATCTACTTACCCATTCCCGTGTAGGGGAACAATACAGGGAGAAAAAGAAAAAGTCTAGAGATAAAAATAATAAAATAATAAAGCCTCCTTCCCTGCCACCTACATAGCTTCTCTCCAGATCTAACGACCATCGTTCAACTATTTAAAAACCAGGTACCCGTCCAAGCGGCTGTCAGTGCATATCGCCTTATCACGCAGTCGTCGCCGCAGAACCGACACGACGGTACGGTCTAACAAAGTAACGTTGCGACGCGTGCTAGCGGGAGAGATAGCGAAGGACGAATCCCGGGATCTTGGGGGCAGCTTTCCGACCTGTTCGGCCTGGCCTACACCCATCGCCTCTCGGGCGGGTTGCCTATAATTGCAGGAGTAGCTGCGCCCTAGTCTGGATAGGAAGCCGGCTCAAAAAACCCGGTTCGCGACGCTGAGAGGCCACTTCGTACAGCTGTCATAGGGAACACCTCGTAGTTGGAGTTGGTCTTGTTTGTTGGAACGACAAACGGACCCCGGTCTCGAATCAGCTTATCCTCGCAACCGTTGGACGCGCCTAGCTGGGGGGGAAGCATTGGATAAGATCTGAATTAAAGATCCATCTCCACTCCTAAACATTCATTAATTCCATACTCCCTGCGTATTTAGTTTTTCGTCTTCTACAACCTTCTACCACCGGCGCCATGTGGTCCAAAGCCGTCCTCTCGTTGTTATTGCTTGCCGTCACGTCGGTCCAGGCTATCTGGCCGATTCCGGAGTCCATCAGCACGGGCAACTCCACGCTTTGGATAGGAGACGTTCTAGTAGTCACTTACAATGGAGATAAAGTATGCTGGTTTTTTCTTTTAGACATCTAGGCCATGTTGCAAATGTTGGCGTAAACTAACTAATTTGGTAGATTCCTTGGATCAGGAATTACATCCCGTCCGGTGGCCCCAAGTTCTCCAGCAAGGAGATCGTCAAGGGAGGAGTCTCACGTACGGTGAAGAATATCCTGGATGATAATTATGTCCCGTGGAAGTTATACCCGCGATTGGCGCTCGAGCAGACGGAACCAAGTCTCTTCCAGCACAAGACTTACATAACTTGGCTCGAGATTGTTCAGACTGGAACAGATACGGCAAAGACGTTTAAGCCCCTCGCAGGTGACGTTGACGAGTCATACAACCTAACTCTCAACGCCAACGGCAAGGCCAGGATCACAGCCGTCTCCTCCACGGGTGTTCTCCGAGCTCTGGAGAGCTTCTCGCAGCTGTTTTTTAAGCATTCCAAGGGCCCTATTTACACCAAGCTGGCTCCGGTCAAGATTAGCGACGCGCCTCAATATGACCACCGAGGTGTCCTTCTCGACGTTTCTAGAAACTATCTTCCCCTTGACGCCATCTACCGAACTATCGATGCCTTATCGTGGAGCAAGTTGAACAGACTTCATATCCACGCCACGGACTCACAGTCCTGGCCGTTGGAGATCCCCTCGCTCCCGGAACTCCACCAGAAAGGTGCATACGCTCACGGAAAGACGTATTCGCCTATCGATGTAACAGCCATCCAGACGTACGCGATCCAGCGCGGTGTACAAGCTATTTTCGAGATCGACTCTCCCGGACACTTTGGTATCGCGGCTCTGTCGCATCCGGAATTAATTACGGGCTGGGGCGCATCTCCGTGGACAACTTACTGCGCCGAGCCTCCTTGCGGCCAACTCAAGCTCAACGAGCCTAAGGTGGATCCCTTCCTCGACACGCTAATGGATGATCTCCTACCGAGGCTCGCGCCATACTCGGCTTACTTCCATACGGGCGGTGACGAGGTCAACTTCAACGAGTACAACCTCGACCCTACGGTCGGTACAAACGACTCGTCGGTAATCATGCCACTCCTGCAAAAGTTTATCGACAAGCACCACGCGCGAGTGCGTAAGGCCGGGCTAGTACCTATGGTCTGGGAAGAGATCCCCGCGAACTACAACGTTACTATCGGAGACGACGTTGTGGTCCAGTCTTGGCTCGGAGACGAAGCTATTAAGAGCCTCACGGCTAATGGCCACAAGGTCATTACTAGCAACTACAACTTCTGGGTAAGTAGATTTAGAGCCTCCAAGTCAAGCCGTTTTTGAGCTTCTGCTAACAGCTATCCTAGTACCTCGACTGTGGCCGCGGCCAGTGGCTTAACTTCGCCGAGGGCGAGTCGTTCGAGGGGAACTACCCATTCAACGACTGGTGCGGGCCAACTAAGAACTGGCGTCTGATCTACTCGTACGACCCGCGCGCGGGTCTAACCGACGAGGAGGCTGAACTAGTCATTGGCGGTGAAGTCGGTGCCTGGGCGGAAACTATCGACGAGGTTAACCTTGATAGCATCCTGTGGCCGCGGTCTAGTGCCGCAGGCGAAGTGCTCTGGTCGGGCCGCCTGGACGCCGCGGGCGAGAACCGAACGCAGCTTGATGCAGCGCCGCGTCTAGCTGAGTTCCGCGAGCGCATGTTGGCTCGTGGGGTTAGGGCCGAGCCAATCCAGATGGTGTACTGCACACAGGGCATGGATGCTAATACGTGTCTCTTCCAATAAGGGACTTTATACCATATACCATATACCATATACCATATACCATATACCATATACCATCACGCCTCAAGAGATATAGGCGTCGCGCTCGTCGCGTCAATGACGATTTTCTTGTACATATTTAATACTTTTGCATACCTACATAGCTAAAAAGGGGCTAAATATGAAGGACAGATGGGTTGATGTATATTGTGTTTAAGTCTGTCTAGTCTGTCTTGCTAGGGCAGGGCAATGAGAAGTGGCGTCCAAGAGGCGCGATTCCCATATTCGTAGAATTTATACTTTAGCCTCGGCCGTAAGTGTCAGACTATTATATCATGTAAGAAGAAGTGTATGCACCTTCCGCACATTTATGACTTTCCACCTTAGACTCTAAAGTCTGATATCCTTATGTCAGCACATTATCCACCTCAGTATTCGGAATCGGCATCACAACCCTCATTCATCCATATTCGCACACCTACCACGTCGATCTATCTTCGACGTCCAAATAAGTAAGGTGAATCGGAATAATAGGCAAGCCAAACGCAAAGAGTATAGCTTCAACGCCTCAACAGTTATGAATCGGCTGATCCTCTCCCCCGATTGGATATACCTAGGGTATACCCAATGAACGCCGCGAGCTGGCGAACGCGATACCGAATGTATCTGTGCCGCATTCCTCATGTCGACCGCTGTTTGTTGGTTAGAAGCCTGTCCTCCTAATAAGCTGGCTTCCTCGCCCACGGACTGTATCGCTTCGATGTTCTTTGACTTCTTATGCCAATCTTTATTATATTTAAAACGAGCATAAGGAGAGTACGAGATCAGCCATCTACGGTTACTTTAAATTGCGTAACATTGGGCTTATCGAGAGGGAATGTGTTTTGTTAGACAAAGACTAGGCTAGATTCAACAGCCAGCCCAAACCCTCGTTTATTTCGGTTTGCTCGTCATCATGGGGTTGGTCGAAACGGCGCTGGACCATATGTCCTTCAAGTCCGCCTTCATAGTCCTCTGTGTCGTCCTCTGTGTCGTCTATGCCTTGTGGACTATATATGTCAAAATCGACGAGACAGTTCGACTGCGACGGCTCGGCGTCCGGGGTCCACGGATCAAGAGTAACGCACCGTTCGGTAAGTGTCAATGAAAGGCAAAAGCTATCCAGGGGCTAGTACCCTAATGAGTAGAACAGGCATAGATATCGTCAAGAAACATATCGTCGGTTCCATCAACCACACAAGCTATGAGGTATTCCTCCAATTTGTGGCCGATAAACCCAACTACACTGCCGAGTCCGTCCTTCTCGGAAACCGCATAATCACGACTGCCGACCCCGAGAACATTAAGGCGGTCCTCGCTACCCAGTTCGCAGATTTTGGTAAGGGCGAACAGTTCCATAAGGAGTGGAGCGAGTTTCTCGGCGACGGCATCTTTGCTACCGACGGTCACCAGTGGCATGCCAGCAGACAGCTCCTCCGCCCTCAGTTTTCGAGGGAGCGTATCAGTGACTTGAATTATTTTGAGTCTCATCTTGAGACATTCTTCAAAGCTATAGCGAATGGCGGTGTTCTGGACGGCGAGGAGCAAAAGGTCGGTATCGAGGCTGGTAACGGTATACCATTCGATATCTGCGATCTCTTATACAGATATACTCTCGATGTCGCTACCGACTTCCTGCTAGGGTTGGACATACAGTCCCTCATGTAAGAATGTCCTACGCTTCCCATCTACCCTTGTCAAAAGACGGAAAAGACTTACGCGCAACAGCAAACCACGCGAGCCCTTCGCCGACGCCTTCAACGAGGTGCAGAGAGTCCAGAATATCCGCGCGCGTGCTGGCCCGCTCGATCCATTAGTGCCTAAGAAGACCTTCCGGCAAGGCCTCAAGGTGGTCAACGAACTTTGTAACATCTACATCGACCGTGCCCTGCGCCTCAGCCCTGAAGAACTAGCGTCCAAAACCAAGTCCGATCAGGATTACACCCTCCTGCACGAACTTGCTTCCTTCACCCGCGACAGGAAAGTCCTCCGTGATCAACTCGTCGCTGTACTTCTCGCCGGACGCGACACCACCGCCTCCACACTATCCTTCACCTTCTACGAGCTTGGCCGCCACCCCGAAATCGTGCACAAAATCCGGCAGGAGATCATGGAGCAAGTTGGCCTAGACCGTACGCCTACGTACGCCGACCTGAAGAGCATGAAGTACCTCCAGAACGTAATCAATGAGACGCTGCGCCTATACCCCGCTGTGCCGTACAACGTGCGCACAGCACTCAAAGACACGATGCTCCCGCGCGGCGGCGGGCCCGACGGCTCTCTACCGCTGCCGGTGCTAAAGGGAACGGCAATCGGATACTCGACGTTAGTGATGCAACGCCGGCCCGACCTGTACCCGGCCGGATCAAACCCAGATGTGTATTGTCCAGGAAGATGGTTCTCCTGGCAGCCGAAGCCGTGGTGCTACATCCCGTTTAACGGGGGCCCGCGCATCTGCATCGGGCAGCAGTTCGCGCTGACGGAGATAGCGTACGTGCTCACACGCGTGTTCCAGCGTTTCGAGCGCGTGGAGAGTTTCATGCACGAGGTTGATGGGGGCAAGCCGAAGCTCAAGTGTGAGGTTGTGATTAAACCGGGGGATGGCGTTAGGGTTGCGCTGTGGGAGGCGAAGGAGGTGTGAGATGATAGAGGAAAAAGAAAAACCAAATTAATGAAGGAAGAAGTAGAGACCTCGTGAGGGAAGCTGTTTGATAGGACTTAAGTCTCCGTGACTTCACGTATGTATCGCGTACTGTACCTTTTAGCATTAGATCAATTCCGCTATCGCGCGGAATATAAGAAATGAATCTACGACAGCCAAATTTCTATATATATAGGCTGGTATAACTCCAATTTACAACGCTCTAAATAATTTTGATTGCGTTTGGGCAGCCATTCTTTTAAAGTATTACAGCTCGCCCGATTACTTCGGCCGAGCTGGCGGCATATGTTAGGTGTGTAGCAGCAATGCGCCGCTGACCGATACAATATGCCGGTAGGGTCCTTTATATAAAAGTGTTGAGTTGGTGTGTGAGTTTCTAAAGTGATAGATCATATCGGAAGAAATGTTTGCGTGGGTGTGTTGCATCTTTATTTCTATCCGACGTCGTCTTTACCCTTCAGTCTTTGAGCGATGTAAGGGAGAGGCTGAGAGATAGTAAATAGATGCTTGTTATTCTGTCTTATCGTGGGATTTTATATCATTATATTGTTAAGTTTACTTTGTGAAGACGAGATAACATAGCAAAGCAGAAGTAGTAGACATGCTATGGTTGCGTGTATCATTTCTAATCAACACTATATTTATCCCTAGTAGTATCTTGGCAGACTGTTACTGACTTGTTAAGGAATAAAACTTCACCTCTATTGGTTCTATTTAACTAGTGTGTCGTATATTATTATAAAGCGAGTGTCAATGGCACAGCACCGTTGGGTGGTAGATCCTATAATATGGCTTTACATGTCTTCCTTTCCCTTCCATTTAAATACCTCCTCCCCCTTTATGAAATAAAATTACCCCCTCCCCCCTTATTTATTTCTCATAGGTATCTCTAGTCATTAGCAGCTATAGGCGAACCTGCCGCTAAACGTGTGAAGAAAGTCGGAACCTCGAGTACCGAAGGAAAAAAAAAAGATAACATACTGATATCGAAAAGGACATGCGCCAGCCGCATCGACAGTACGGTAACTGCTGTCAAAGCGTCGTTTAATGTCTCCGCGTGGAAAATCATGCCAAGCAATCAAGAGCCACCGGAAAAGGAGGAGGAATCTTGTTCTTAACCTCGTGGCAGAAGCAACAACAGCCGGAAATTACGTATCGAAAGATATTCCCCTCTCGTTCATCACGCTCATGGTATAAACGCCTTGACACCTCTCCCTGTTCAAGACCCATCGTGCCCCTACGTGTCCGACGAAGCTGCTAAGCATGGCGGCGCACGAGGCCCACGGCACGATGCCCAGCGTAACCACGTTGGCGCTGATGCCCGTGCCCCAGCCGATACACACGGCCCAGACGATCCAGGCCGCGAACACGAGGGGCTGGTATGGATCCCGATCCCGCCGGCGGTGGGTGTACGACGACAGACAACACCCTAACACCAGGCAGGAGCCGAGTGCCAGTCCCGGCGGCACGTTTCTCAGCAGCAGGTCGAGCCTGGCTGCGCGGAGGAGGCTTTGGCTATAAGACTAGAGAGTCGGAACGGTTGCTTTCAGCGGGAGGGTATCAAAAAAAAAAAAAAAAAAGGAGGGGAGGGGGGAGGTTGGGCTAAACCACGCACGTCGATATTTACAAGGAAATCCTCCCGCGCCGATTCTGCGCGGACGATGTAACACGTCGTAAGGAAACTACAAGTCACGGCGGGAACTAGCTCAGCGAGTTCTGATAGCGAGGGGTTTCGCCGCGACGGTAATGTGTATTGTTGGTGGTAGACCTGGTTTCCAGGCGGCCCGAATGAACGACATGTTGCGTACATCTGAAGAATGTGCGAAGGAAAGATCGGTATATTCAATTCAGACACATCGGAGGAGGATACGATGTAGACGCACTGGTTGAAGATGTCAGCGATCAAAATATCATTCTACTCCGGGATCCTTATACTTTCTCCCGAGATGCCTAGAGTCAGGTTTGGTGCTTACGCGTTAGCCAATGGCCTTGCTCAACTTCGTTGGCTCGCATGGTTACAGAAATTGGAGTCTACATGATGTAGGCTGGGTTAGCTGACACTATGACGATCTTAGTCTCACATCGTGACACAGTTTACAGGGCGTTGTGTTACTCTGCATGGTACCAGTTGGGCTCCAAGGGGCGCAGCGAGTTACATATCCGCGAGCTGCAGCATTCGATGCTAGGCTGACAGCGAGGCTATACGACAACATCTTCCAATAAGATGTCTCCGATGATACATTGGATTTTCGGTGAGTATTCCTTCGGTGTATGTTTGTTGGTCCAACTGTAGTTAGGCAAACCGCTAACAAGAAAAGTCCTACATATATGGCATTTCTGAATGACTCAAAGGCAGTCCCCTCTAGTCGCACGGCTGCGAAAAGGTGTGTATAGACATCGGGCTGCAACGCGATAGCCTCTATTCTACTCGGATAGGGCGGGTTACCTCTTATAGTTGATTGTATTGTTATGAGAACGGGTGTTCTCCTAAAATCGCCTGCTCGTTAAATAGAGAGGCCTCTGGCTAGACAAATAAACAGGCGTCGTTTCCTCCAGCCACACTCAACAGGTAATACTCTCCCTCCTCCGCACTTGTAGAGATCCCTTATTGCGCCCACTCATTCGGCTGTTTGTTGAAGATTATATAATATATATGGTATACGAGCGGCTTGATTCGTACCATCCCCTGGCTTTTAATACGACTAGCCGCCCCGGTCGGCTGGCAATGCTTGATTATTCTGAGGCACGTATGGCCAAGGTTATGTTCGACCGTATTAGAGTGGTGTCTGGAGGCATCATGGTCGGTGCTGCCATGCTCTTACCAGCTTTCCAGCACGAAGAGGCCTTTTACCGATACCTGTGAGGTACCTATCTTATCGTTGATTGAGTCGTGCTGACACTGTAAGCATCTTGTGGCTTTTCGGGATCTCTACACTCGTCCATAATGCTCTTATTTGGGAGGCCGTCGTCAATTACTTTTTCTTGGCCTTGGCTACGATTGTTGCAGTTATCTTCGTTACGACACCGCATTCCAACGTCTCGGTATCTTTCCTGCTCGGCCGTGTTCCCCTCCTAATAGCGCTGATGAGTTTATTTGTTGAGGATTGTTCAAGGTTAGTAGATTATCTTAGACAACTTTTGGACGCACTGAGGTGGTCCTTATACTAAACCATCTAACCCAGGCGCTTTAACCAAAATAGTCGCTACAGGAAAAAAGCACAGGACCCAAAACTGATACCTCCTGGCGCTGAAAGCGACGTGGATGGACACTCGTTCTTCATGCTTGGCCCTCATGACGAGCTATTTTCTCACATGAATGGCGGCGGGATGCGACAATATAATGCGTCGAGTCAGCACTCATCAGAGATATCTCTATCAAATCTTGGGCCCGGACGATTGCCGTCGTCGTGCGATAGTATGATACGCGATTTCTGGCGCGAGGACCTCAATATGTGTAAAAAGGAGGAAGGGCAAGGTGAAGAGAGCCCGGAGAGCCCGGAGAGCCCGGGTCTTAATAAGGCTGTTTTATTTTGGTGATATGTAGTCCGCCTCAAAAGCAGACTAGAATAGTCTGAGAGTTCGTTCCGTTCCGTTTCGTTTCATTTCCTTTTGTTCTTATTCGAATGGTCGATTACGAGCTCTAGTAGCCATGCTAGTAGAGAATACTTAGTGAATACTGGCTAACACTGTAGTACTTGGAGTTCTGCGGGCCATTTCGCTGATACCAAGGACGGTGTTATGCAAGTATCAAGGGAAGACATTTGTATGTCAGTTAACATTATCATATTTTAGGGTGACATTCGGGTTTTAGTTCCTCATGTTTATACAACAGGCGAATGCGGAATATCAATATTATTTTCGTTTCCGGACCCGGGCGGGCGAGAATTGTTAAATAGTTGCTGGATTGCTTAGCGGCTGAACATCATAGTCCACTTAACTATTCAATTGCTTTTCCACATGGACTGTGACTACGGGTGGAGGTAACTGTAGAACTGAAAGGAAGATTGTCAGTGCGACTTGAGACTCGGTTTGATTGATGGAGAATAATAAAGTGACGTTGGAGCAAGTTTATCGGATCAGTTTTATCGGATCTCGATAAAACTCAAGGTCCACTTACATATAGTTCGTACGTCATGTTCCTTCCATTAAATTGTCCTAAGCGCCTTGCTTTCCGACATTTTCCAGCCACCTTTAAAAAAAAAAAAATCATCTCCAGCCTCATGGATTTATCCCGGCATAGCTGTTCCGGATATGTCGGGTCCACCTTGCTAGGCCAAACCAGCTTTTATGAGCCACTTGGCTTGGCGCTATTTGGCAACTAAGCTCAGTTCAACTCTAGCGTGGGACACCGTTGGTCGCATCTTAACGTCGCAACGCCAGCGGTCAAAAGTTGACCTACCATAGAAAGAATCATCTCACCTTGGCCGACTCACATGCACCATACTATGTACATATAATTCACATTCGTACATTCGTATTCAAGGTCTAGGCCCTGCTGTTCCACTGTCTTCCATTTTCTGGCAGGTGTCGTTCACATCTGTCGTATTTCTTTTCAGTCGGAGATGACGACGATGTATTGGCATAGTGTTACCCATGCTGCCATGCCATGCTGCCATGATCTTATGTACGTGGGTCATGAATATATTGGGTGGTTGGATCTCTCTTCTTTTTTCATCGCTCTCTAAACTTCCCTTGCCTCCCTTGCTTCCCATTGCTATTCTTGCCCATACCAGTTGAGTCACTTGCATATTTTCTGCAATCTGTAGAAGCCTTCTTTTACCCTTTTGGCAAAAGATAATCTCCCTTTGCGCATACATAGTAACGTCGTACAATACCGTACATACACCGTTACCATTGAGGCATCATTCCGAGCATCACTGTATAGCACCACCTATGATCTACTTTCTATACCAGTGTAACCAATAACTCGAGTGTTGACTCGGAGTTCTAACATCTGTTTCTCCTCCCCAATACATACACCATCCCCGTATCCTTGTAGATGCATGCCCCAGCTATCATGGCGGCTTCTTTTTGGAAATGCGCAATACTGGCTTCCGTGCTATTCTCAGGCCGGAGTGTAGCCCAGACATACACATCATGCAACCCTCTAACTTCAAGTAAGTCAATATTTCTTGTCTCCCAAGTTAGCACTTCAATGGCTTACATCTCTTAGCCTGCCCCGCGGATACCGCTCTTGGCATGGCCATAGACGTCGACTTTACCCAAGGAGAGGTGAACTCGTTCACCGCATCAGGCGGTCAACCCACATACGGCTCCGATGGCGTAACGTTTACGGTTAGACAGAGCGGCGATGCGCCGCAGCTTTCTTCTGTCTTCTACATCATGTTCGGCCGAGTCGAGCTTAGCTTGAAAGCTGCCCCCGGCGCCGGCATCGTGTCTTCCTTCGTATTACAATCCGACTGCCTCGACGAGATCGACTGGGAATGGCTGGGTGCTAGCTCGACCGAGGTACAATCCAACTATTTTGGCAAGGGGATAACTGCTTCCTATAATCGCGGACAGTTTCATGAAATGGGAAACAACCAAGGCGGTTTCGTTACCTATGTGATCGATTGGACAAGTGATCGAATTGTCTGGACCGTGGATGGAACTGTGGTGCGGACGCTCCAAGCTTCAGAAGCCGAACAGGGCCAGTACCCACAAACGCCAATGCAGGTTAAATTCGGTGCATGGTCGGGGGGCGACTCTAAAAATCCCCAAGGCACGATCGATTGGGCGCGCGGCCCTACCGACTACTCCCAGGGGCCGTTTAGTATGAGCGTAAAGAGTGTCAAGGTGACAGACTACAGCACGGGCCACTCTTATACCTACGGCGATACTTCCGGTTCGTGGCAATCCATTAAGGCGGACGGCGGCCAGGTCAATGGTAATTTGGGCAACGCCGGCACTCTTACTACCACTGCGGTTGCGAGCGGTTCGACCGCGACCGGGTCGGCTAATGTTCCTGCCGGCGGCATAGGCGGTTCAGATAACCAGGGTTCAACCTCGTCTAATAACTTACCCGAGGGTTGGGTTATGACTTCGGAGGGGAAGATAGTGCCATCAAGTTCGACTGTCTTACGTATGTTCATAAGTTTACCCCCGCCGCTTAGATATGAGACTAACACGTATACTCCTTAGGCCCTACGTACCACTTCATCTTTATCTTCACCCTCTGCGCTATCCTCGCGAGTAGCCGAAGGTTTTGGCCTTGAAGCACTGCAGCTGGACAACTACGCTGAGGTAGACAGCGGAGTAAGAAACGACGAAAAGCAAAATAAGGGTTATTATGAGAATGACTTCTTATGAGTAGGGGATTTTACATTTTACGACCGGGTGCGTCGGAAGTTCTCCTTAACCGGAGACTGCAGATGAATAGACATGGTTTAGTCCAGGGGCTAGGGAACGTGTCCGCGCAGGTTTACGGTTCCGTCTATCAGCAAATCAACTAGCCAATCGATACGAGCCTATTAACCCCAGTCCGACGCACCTAAGGCTCCCAATTCCGCCCACTCGAAGGCTATCGCGGCGACTAGGGCGGAAAGGCCGTACGTATGCAAAGACAACTGCCTCTTCGGGATTTGCACTTCAAAGAGTCCAATTGCAGTGTCAGCCTAGGTAGTTAAAGATTCACCGCCTCGTCACAGAGTCTTTCGGTACCTAAGCACCGGAATATGGGCCGCCGTCGCAAAGACTAAACCAATATCCGTTAACTTATGCAAGAAGGACCCTTCTTTCTCAACGTACCATCTATTCCGGATTTTCCTTGCTCACATATAGCTCACTACAAGCAATTTGTAATATTATAGGTAGAAGCGCCTATGGAAATAAAATAGACATCGACTCGGGTCACGGGATAGGGAAACACTGGCGTTGGTATCTGCAAGCAAAGGGCATATTAATGGAGCAAGCAAGCAAAAGTCTAGACTTGGTATGGATGATCGTTATAGATAAGATATGACAGGGCATCGTACATAGGGCGTCGCATGCATTATGAGCTAGGAAACCATGGTTTATTTAGCATATGTATATAGGTCGGAATATGAGTATCATAACGTAATGGATGAATTAGCTTAGTATTCGTATTGGGTTTTGGAGATAGTTACGAGATGGAAATACTATAGTAGTTACGTATGACCCAAAGCGTCAATGGGTGGTATAAACCGGAGAATGGCATTGGTTACTTAAGGCCGGCTACAATCGGCCGGAGCCCCACTATCGTCCCCCGTTATCGCCCCCCGTTATCGCACCGAGGCCCGTGTGATTCGGTGAACAAAGGAAAGCCGCAATATGACAGCAACTTTTCGACCACTGGTCTACTTTTTTTCGGGTCTCTTAGGTAATCATTAGCTTGGGGCCTGTAATATATCTTGTACTTTAGAATTCTTGCTCCTGGAAATAATGGCAAGGTTCAGTTGCAACTACTATCGCACCCTCTCGTCGTTGTTACTTGTTCGTTCGGATCGACGCTTTGTACCGGCTCCTGGAAAGTACCTGTTCTCTACTAGTTCCCGGCACCGCCAGTCTCCAAATATCGCAAGCAAGATGTTGGTGGAGAAGGATCCTGCTGCTGGCCAGCAGGCCCACGAGCGGCTGACGATCGATGGCATCAAGGAGCGGAGGGCAAGAGCAGGCAGGCTATATGCTCCCACGGCGTCCTATTCGGATAGTGACATGTTCAAGTCTCCTGTAAGAAACTCGCCGTCTTCCTGCCTGTCCCATGCCGTATCCGATTTTACTTGCTAGAGTTGTTGTTTAGCTGACGTTTGGTGTGGATGTTGCGGTATAGCAAGCACACGACAAGCCCAAAGCAAAACGATGGGATCGTGAGTTAACTTATCCTCTCTTGCTTATATGGCAATGACGTCTTGGTTCTAACACCCCCCGTCAGACCGTCTTAGCCAAGAGTCCATTGCCCGGGAAGCCTGCGTGCTCAAACAAGCAGCCAAGCACCTCAAGAAGCCCGGGCTCATCTCCCTCGGCGGCGGACTGCCGTCGGCGGAGAACTTCCCCATCGACTCCCTGAGCATGCACGTGCCTACACCGCCTCACTTTACTGAAGCAGAGACGGCCTTGTCGGGTCAGGACGTCAAGATAGGCAAGTATGATGTTGCAAATAACGAGAACGGTGGCGTGTACGATCTGTCTATCGCCATGAACTACGGCCAATCTGTCGGTTCCGCTCAGCTGTTACGTTGGGTCACCGAGCACACCGAGCTTGTCCACCGCGACCTGCCATACTCGGACTGGCGATGTGCCCTGACCATCGGTAGCACGGGGGCTCTCGAGCAAGCGTTGAGGATGTTCTGCGATCGCGCGAGAGGCGACTCGATACTCACGGAAGAATACAGCTTCTCGACGGCGCTCGAGACCACGGCTCCCCTGGGAATCAAGGTATTCGGCGTGCGGCTAGACGGACAAGGTCTGTTACCCGAGAACATGGACGAGATCCTATCGTCCTGGGACGAGAAAGCCAGAGGCGCTAGGAAACCCACCTTGCTGTACACCGTGCCCTCGGGACAAAACCCCACCGGCGCAACGCAGAGCGAACAGCGCCGCCGCGATATCTACGCCGTGTGCCAGAAGCACGACGTCTACATCCTCGAGGACGAGCCGTACTACTTCCTGCAGATGCAGCCGTACACCGGGCCCAACGCCCCCGCCGTCGCGCCCCCGGCTACCATCGAGGAATTCCTCGACAACTTAATCCCCAGCCTCCTCAGCATGGACGTGGACGGGCGCGTAATGCGGCTTGACTCGTTTAGCAAGGTGGTTTCCCCGGGGTCGCGGGTCGGTTGGATTACGGCCAGCGAGCAGATCGTCGAGAGGTATATCCGGCATGCCGAGTGCTGCAGCCAGGGCCCCGGCGGGCTCGCCCAGGTACTCATGTATAAGCTCGTGGACGAGACGTGGGGGCACGAGGGATATGTGAGGTGGCTGATGCACATGCGGCTCGAGTACACGCGGCGAAGGGACACCATCCTGGCTGCGTGCGAGAAGCATCTCCCTCGCGATATCGTGAGTTGGGTTCCGCCGGCCGCGGGCATGTTTGTGAGTTATCTCCCCCCCCCCCCTTTTTTTCTTCTTATTCCCTCCCTTTTACTACTATTCTTCTCTCTTTCACACCGCAATCCCTCTAGATCAGAACTGCCTAGCAGGTAACTAACACCCCGCCTCCTACCTCCCCAGCTCTGGCTCAAGGTCGACCACACGCAACACCCGCAAGCCTCAACCAAATCCATCCTCGAGATCGAAGAAGAAATCTTCAACTCGTGCATCGACAAGGGCGTCCTCGCCATCCGCGGGTCTTGGTTCCGCGCCGAGCGCGACCAGCCCCCCAGCGGCCTGTTCTTCCGCACCACATTCGCCGCAGCCTCCGAGGCCGCTATGGACGCCGCCATCGAGCGCTTCGGCGCTGCTGTGCGCGAGAGCTTTGCTACCGCTAACGGCCACTAGGTAGGAAATTTGCATTTGTGCTCGGGAAGATTACCTTAGGTACTTACGTACTGGCTGTTGTTGGAGTTGTTGTTGGAGTTGGAGTTGGAGTCGTGATACCTACTTACCTACCCCCTTAACCTAGGCGTGTGATTAGATACCTTACATTACATACACCCATCTACATAGCTAGCTACCCTATCAGCCTAGGTTAGAGGCTTATATCCGTTGGACCCTTGGAAAGAGTTGAGCGGTAGCATAGCATGCATGCAGGCCTTGCGAAAAGAACTCCTTTTTTCTTTTCTTTCTTGAGCCGCATAGGATTCGCATATGATTCGCATAGACAGGAGGACACGGATGGACGGGAACAGAAGACCTCTAGCTGGCTCTAGCTAATGCACCTTCTACCGGCGAATCAGACACAGGGTGGCTTGCATGACGTATGGGCTGCTGCGGTGTGAAAGATGCAATATATCGAATTAATCTGTATGGTCGGGCGCTTCGTCGATGCCTAGCTGATGTGTAACGAGTAAGCGCATATATTGATTCTGTCGTGTTCTGCCTAGTCGTCTGGTCGTGAAGAAGGCTGGATAGGTAGGCTATTATTACTTGCGTAGATACTACCTAGGTTAGCCATATTGGCCTACCAGTATTTTACAACAGACCCTTTTCAAATAGCCTCTCAGTACCTATACCCATGTAACAATTAGGTAGGTAGGTAGGTAGGTAGATAATTGGATCCTAGCTACCTAGCCTACGTATGATTTTATAGGCACTACTTCGCAAAATCGGTCCAAAATGAGGAAATTAATAATGCATCGTATTTCTGCCCGTCTAGAATTACTCTAGTGGAAGCGACACAAATCGAATTGTCCATGAACCCACCCCGACACTCGCACCCCCCGGAATGCACCGCGCCATGCTAAAGTACCTGGCTCGTCCGATCATGCTGTAGAAGTGTTTTTATGCCTCCTCTCACAAACCATTGCGCCTTCTTCCTTTCCCCGGTCTGCTTCTGAGACCTCCATCCCCGGCTCTTGTCTCCTTTCTAGGTCTCTCTAACCATCGAGCGCCATTGGCGGGATGTGTACTATACAATAAATATACTGATGATGCGCCAGAGTAATAAGAATAGATAGGTAGCCCGTGGCTTTAAAATTCCCAGTGATCGTCGTCCTCTATCGACTTGATAGCCCAGTTGAACTTCTCACGCAGAGTCTTGGAGAAGAACTTCTCAATAGGAACGTCAAACTTCTTAGCAAAGACAACGGTGAGACGGGGATCGATGTAGTTCTAGACACCAAATTAGCATCCACTTTAGTCAAAGCATGTCTCTAATATAACTTACGATCTTGGAAGTGCCGAGAGCAACCTCCTTGTTACCGTCACGGTCGGCAGCTTGAAGCTCCAGGGTTCTAATGCGTTCTTCTATCTTCTGGATGTTGCTTTCAATCTTCTCAACGGTCGGACCTCTTCCTTCGGCTTCTACCTTCTTAGTCTTGTTCTCTTTCTTGAATTTCTTCGCTAGTTCATCCGCAGCTTGGAGACGCTCCTTGAGCTCCTTATCAGGGAACGGCTTCTCGCCATCCTCCTGGCGCTTCTGGTTGTCTTTCTCAAACTTCCTTTGAATCTTCGTTCGCTGCTCTTCGACTAGAAAGTTCTGATGCTCTAGGATCCACGCTTCGTTGAGATCCGAGTCCATTTCGAAGAAATCAACGGCCTTCTTCTTCTTCAGCTTAGGGTCTACATCCAGTAGCATCATCTTGTTTCGCCACTTTTGATACTTAAGGCCCTTGATACGATCGCCAAGCTTTTCCATCTGTGCTTCATGGCTTGCACCGACAGTCCGCTTATGGTTACAAAGAATAGCAACCTCCCGGTTGCAATCGTTGTATAGTTTGATCTTCTCTGCCATGGTAGAATCTGAGACCTTCAAGTCCCTGAGTAGGTTCGCCATGGTGTAAGAAGCATTATATGTACGGAAGACCTTCGCTGTCAAACCTGCCATATAAGAGGAAAGGTGCTTGTTCAGCTGCGCAGTTGTTAGGCGATCAAAGATATCATCGCCCTCCTTCTTCGGTGGCTTCTTGAATACTCTAAGATTCTTAAACACCTGTCGGTCAACCGTGACCTGATCGTAGAATCTAATACTGTCTTTACCCAAGAAATCGAAAATGACGATATTGGGTTCTTGGAGGGTGACGTGTTCGTATTTGAGCGAACAACAACCCACTGTCTCGGCCTCGTTCTCGGTGTCTTTTTCGTTACCAGCTCTCAGAGCAAACTTGTCAATTAGGTACACAGCTGTGGCTCGCTGACGGTCGGCCATGGCTTCTGCCTTCAGATCCTTCGTATAGTCCTTGCGGATCCTTGCGATGTGCTTCTTCAACTCTCGAGCTTTTTCGAATTTCTTGAAGTCACTCTGGCCCTTGACAGCACTGGTCGCACCGAGCATGACATACTTGTATGAACCATTGATGTTTTCTTGCCACATTGCTAGCCATGTGGCTTTGTTGTCGTGCTGAACAGCCTTCCATTTGTGGCCCTCAGGTGGAACCGGGACCTTTGCGTTCTTGCCGATGTTGATGATAATTTGTTCAGGCATAACTCGTTTCTTGACTTTACCTGTCTTAGGATGCTCGCCACGACCACGGAATAGCCCGGGTGGTTCGACTCGGAAGTTGCCGACTTTTTCTTTGCGGCCATCCCATTTGCAGTACATATACGGGGCTTCAGCCTTATCCCTCTCCGCCTTCTCCGCCTTCTTTTCGGCAGTCGGGCGAGCCTTCTTCGCCTCGTTCTTGGCATGATAATATTCAAAGATGGGTTTGAAGTCTAGCTTGGAAAACTCTTTGATGTTGACCTTGTTGCCTTTTCGATCTGTTGCTCCACCTGTTTTGTCTAGCACCTCCTTGAAATCGCTGAAGAAATTCTTTTGGAAGGTAGGATTCTCTACGTTGTGGGTTGAGTTGAGCATCGATCCGAAAAAACCAGCAACTTCCTCAGCTTCAACATGAAGATTTACTGGAGTGCCGTCGTAAATGAGTCTCACGTCTTTTGGAAGGGGCTCGTAAGCCGGGGGGAAGAGAACACCATTGTGCTCAAGAGTAGTCCACTTGACACTGTCATCCTCTTTCTTGGGGGCGTCCCACCAACGGTACTCTGCTTCCTCATCTTCACCTTCGGCTGGCTCTTCGCTCACCTCCTTCTTGGCTTTCTTGGCTGGAGTTTTCTTAGCTGGGGTAGACTTCTCAGCCTTCCCATTAGCCTTGCTAGGGGCGGTCTTTGCCTTCTTGCGAATAGGCAAGTCGGAATCAGACTCTTCTTTCTTGACGCCGTTAGCCTTTCCTTTTCCATTGACGCCGTTGGATGGTCGCTTTCTCCCCTTGGTACCTGCTAAGGGTACATCATCATCAGACTCATCCTTGACGGCCTTCTTTGGAGTAGGTTTCTTCGATTTGGAAGCGCTCGCATTGATGGCCTTTGCTTCCTTTTCAGCATTCTTCTCGATAGCCTTCCTCTTAGAAGCAAGTTTAGCATTCAGCGGCTGGTCATCGTCCGAATCTTCCATCATAGCAGTCTCATCCGCAGCGGGTGGTAGCTTAGTCTTTCTCTTGCTGAGAATCTCATCGTCGGAGTCGTCGGGAACAACTTTTCTTTGACGCTTCGCCTAATTTGATGGTTAGTATGGACTTTTCTATATTGCGGCACGGTTCTGGTGTAAACAAATTCGAACATACCAATCGCCCATCTTCAGACTCCGACGCGTCCTTGTAGCTCACGTTGTTGGTAGAAGCTCTCGACTTGCGCTTCCCATTGCCGTTTGTTTGTGGAGACGCATCGTTGACTGGGCCGTTGCGAATGGACACAGGAGCAGGCTTAGGTTTAGGTTTGGTAGCGCTGCGGTTCATGGCTTTACCTTCGGTCTTGGAATTACTCGAGGTCGAGACTAAAACATCGGAAGGCGCGTTAGTAAAAGCGAGGCTGGGGGAAACCAAAGAGGCAGGTAGATAGGTCCGAGTTTGACGAGTGAATGAAGGAGTATGAATTTGGTATGATAGGACGGCGCAAGGCAAGTGACACCAGTACGACAGACAACCTAGATCAGTCACAAGTAATAAAAAAATAAAAAATAAAAAAGTCAACTTACGGTGGCCGTTGGTGCGAGCCAGAGGCATATCATCGTCAGAGTCGGACATTTTGGGCGCGCGACGTCGGGAAGTCGCGAGTGCGATGCGTTGACTTAGCAGGGGATTCGGGTGAGAATTCAGGATTCGACAGGTAAAGGTGCGAATAAAGAGAGCGCGAAAGATGGGTATAAAGTGAAATTTTGCGATATTGAATAGTAGGAAGGGTGGACCACACCGTAGTGCACCACCCTATTCTATAAGATAAAGAGGACAAACAAGCAACGAGAGTGAGGAAGGGGGAGAGATGGTGAGATTAGAAGGGGAAAAGTCAGAGACGACGAGTGTGAGGACTTGGAAAAGAAGGCTTCATTGGAAAGTCTAGCCCATTAGCCACAGGTTGAGTCCGCTGCGGATGCTATTGGCCAGGTGTTGTCCTTATGAGTGGAGAAGAGATGAGTAGGGACTGGGTAGGAAGAATCCAAGAATGCCCTACCTACTGCTGCGGCCGGGCTGGTCTGTTGCTACGTGCTGGACTGCTGGCTGCTGGCTGCTCTGCATGTGGTAGAAAGTAAAGGAAAAAAAATATTGTTAGTGAACCCGGTCAGGACCAGGTAAAGAGAGCCCAAAAAGGCTTAGAGCGGGTATAAGAATGATTAGATAATAATATAATATATGCTGCATGAGATGAGTCGCTTCCGAATTAGTACATTCATCTTGGGTACGTATGGATCGTATCGTATGGAGTATGGATCGTGGCTGCTTGTACCGTACGCAAGGACCACTAAGAAGTTACCAGCTATGTAGGTATGTACATATGTACCTAGCCTGCTGCTTCCAGGTCCACTTGGGGAAAGACAGAAAAAAAATACAAAGTACATGTAGCTTAATTTGCTTGGCAAAGCGGTTCCGTCTGGGCCGAGAAATTTCCGGGCGTGGGAGAAAGCGCAAGTGTGGCCCGGTCGGGAACTGGAGGAAAGAAGCTTTTGGTGGAAAAGAGATCAAATCGAACCTCCATCGAAATAATTGATCCCAGAGTCACCAATTGATTGCGCTTCCCCATCGCATCGCAATCAATCCTTATTTAAGGGCTCAGGACACGACTCACCCTCCAGTTCTTCAAGATGCTTTCAAGGGTAGCACGACCGGCTCTGAGAGCTGGAGCTGCGGCTATTCCTGCTCGGTACGTCGGATCTTGAAGTGGGATTATGAGGCAATTCGCCGACTACCCTCAAAATGCACCCCGATCACGTCTAAGAATAAGAGTTTTAGAAAGAAGGACGTACTAATAGCTGAATTGGTACAGTGCCGCCAACAATGGAGCAGCTGGCTACGCTACCCTACGAGAAATCGAAGGTCGTCTAAAGTCTATCAAGAACATCGAGAAGATCACCAACACCATGAAGATCGTGGCCTCCACCAAGTTGACCCGTGCCCAACGTGTCATGAACGACTCGCGAAAGTACGGCCAGACCTCAAACGAAGTCTTCGAATCCGCCGAGACTAAGCCCCTCGAGGGTGAGGGCAAGAAGACCTTGTACATCGTGTGCAGCTCCGACAAGGGTCTCTGCGGTGGTGTTCACTCCGGTCTCACGCGTTTTATGCGCCGACGACTAGCTGCCAGCGACCAGCCTGCCGACCTGATCCTCATCGGAGAGAAGTCCAGGGCCCAGCTCAGCCGTACGAACGCCAAGGACATCGTCCTCAGCTTCGCCAGTATTGGAAAGGATATCCCGACCTTCACCGATGCCCAGGCCATCGCCGACCAGGTTACGCAGCTTCCTACTGACTACACCGACATCAAGATTGTGCACAACAAGTTCATCAACGCTACCAGCTACGAACCCATAATCATCGAGGCTTTCTCCGAGGAGGCCATTGCCAACTCCCCCAACTTCTCCGCCTTCGAGGTTGACGAGGAGCTTCTGTCTAACCTCCGGGAATACGCCCTAGCTAACTCTCTCTACTGGGCTCTTGCCGAGGGACACGCCTGCGAGATCTCTGCCCGACAACAGGCTATGGATGTAAGTTTAGACCGTCAAACTTAACCTTATCAAACTGTCAAGCCCCCGCCTCTAACCTTCTTCATAGAACGCCTCCAAGAACGCTGGCGAGATGATCAGCAAGTACCAGATTCTTTTCAACCGAACTCGTCAAGCCGTCATTACAGGCGAACTGGTCGAAATCATCACTGGTGCCACCGCCTCGGAGGACATGTAGAGCGGGTGATAGAAAAATAGATGGGGTGGTGAATGATCCAATCGCATCTTCCCTTTGTATCAAAGTACCCTAAGCAAAACCTCGGCGCTGTCGCCTTGGATGTATCAATTCAACGAACTAGTTCCTCAGCCTTACTTGCCCTCTTTGTCCTCTTTGTTTTATGTGACGCAGTTCTGTATTTGACTGAAACATCAACTTACTCCTGAAGCAGTGCTTGGAGGCTTTCTACGTGAGTTAGCTGCAGTGTATAATCACCTAAGCTACACCGACCGTCCCTATTAATAAAGTGAGGAGGTAGACTATCACTACCAGTACCATATCATATAGAGATAGACAACGTACCTCCTATCATTTTCGACCACTCATGCTTCAAGCTCACCTGGACAAACTACCTACACAAAGGCAATTTAAAAGACATCTAGCATATCAAGTAGAGCTGTCTATCTATCCTCCCCCCTACGCTTTGGAGTTTATGGCTGTTTAGTTGATATAATTACACCACTACATTATCAACCAGCTGAGCCATGTCTTAACTGACACGTCACATACAAGCCCCTAACCTAGGTCCACAAGCCCGTTTGCCATTATCAATTTAGATGCTCGAACAAACCATGACAGATTCAGAAGCACCCTCCCGCCACGTTACTACGTACAGAGGTACCTACATACTTTATACCAAAGGGACCATGGAACTAGCTCTAGGAAACTTAGAAACGTGTAGCAGAGTTTGTGACATTATTCCAACATGTTTGCCCTATAGTCAACAGGAGCAATCTATATATCTCCTAGGTTAGAGCTTTTGCTAATTATAGTCTGCTAGATACCAGGTACCTAGGTAGGTTATATGCAAGTTTCCTAAAATACAACATCTATCTACCCTCTTTGTTGGCCGCTAGGTTAAGATAATAATAGCATACGGCTAGTCGCAGCAAATGATATAGCGCCTTCTTAGACCATCTAATAAGGGTTCGCGTTATCACTTGCTCGTCAGTATATCCGACGGCTTCCTAGCCAAGGGCAGCATCACGAGCTATCAACTTCTCAGATTCCTTGTCCCTAAGGTCGATAGCCAAATAGTCTACAAACCACGAATCCATACCCTTATTTACTTTATTTCTGTTGAGAAATACAAGTCTAAAAAAGGTTTCCAGCAGAAACTGTGTGGGTATAATAATCTAGCTTAAGTCACCAATATCACATCACCACTTACGTCAAAGACACAAATTACAGTCACACCCAAGAAAGAAACATGTATGATAAATGCATCGCAATAAACGTATTTCGGGCTTCTAGCAGAGCCCTTGGACCTTAGCAACTATGTACTTCAGGAACCATCACAAGCCGCCCTAACGCCCCCTATGACTACTTCCGATGCAAAGCCCGTACGCCAACGACAACGTAAATGTGCCTAACCCCTATACGCGCCTACCGGTGGACCGGCGCCTCGTAGTAAATCTTTTTGTACAACTCCTACCCCTCTAAATCGAGGTATCACCCCATAGTTTTGTTTATGTATAGGTACCTAACGTATGTATGTAATCGAAAGGGGAGCCGACGTATTACCCTAGCTCTAGAGTTTCACTCCTCCATGTCGATATCACTTCCCTCACTCTCAGCATAGTTGCTGACCTTGGCGCGTCTCCGTTCTCTTCCGCTCTCACTGGCAGGGCTTCCCTCGTCCTCGAACACGAGCTTATGGTCTTTTTCGTATTCGCCCCTTACTACGGGGTAACGCTGATCCCACTCCTTGACCTTGGTCTCCCAGGCCTTTAATGCTTCATTATACTTCTGCTTTTGATCGGACGCTTGATCTTCAAACGGCTTTCGATCTTCAGGAGTCGCCTCCTTCCACATCTTACTTGTCATGACTCGTACTTCGTTTGGACCCGGCTTGCCCTTACCAGCTCGGCGGCCCTCTGCACACCGCTTGCGTGCCGTCTCGAAGAATGCCTTACTATATAGGAGGTAGGCATTTCCCGCAACTTTCTGGGGTCGCCAAGGTCGCTCCCCGATTTGCGCTTTGATATGTCGCCAAGCGGCGGCTTCATATTCATCAATACGAGTCTGTTTGTTGGATTTGTGAGATATGACTGATAGACCATCTCCAGGCTCCTTGCGCTTCAACCCCTGGGAAGAGAATGCGGACTCTTTCCGTAGTATTAGCGGAGTGGGGACCTCGATTTGGCCGATCATGGCATCGATTACTTCCGACGCTACGCGTAGTCCAGATAGGTATGCGCCATGTACTGTAGCAGGGTGAGTTTCGGTTGTGTGCTCGCCTGCAAAGAATAGGTTGCCAACTGATTTAGCCATCGTTTGATAGTCGTCAGGGCGCATCGAAGGACCGGCCGAGGAATAAGACCCTCGGGCAAATTTATCAGAACCCCAGCGTGTGACGATCGAATGGATCGGTTGGGGAACTTTAGCACCATATACGCTTCGGAGGACCTCGGTAGCTTCAGCCACGAGCTCATCATTGTTAGAATGCTCAGTATCAAAGCCAGCATCTCCAGCCATCAACCCAATAAGTACTGGAATGCCGCTTGTATTTGACGTGTTAAACCACTGGAAGCAACGCCCACGCTGTGAAGTGTACTCAGACTGCTTGAGGCTATGGCGAGAATTTGGACTTCGTAGGCAACCGAAGATGTCTCTGCTCGTATCCCAAAAAGCTTCTGCGTAAACTAGAATAATTTTATTAAGGATACCATAACCTAGGCGACTAATAGCGCCTGCTTTGGAAGGTGGTAGAGGAGGGTTGAATTCAACACTGCCGTGTTTGAGAACTCCGAGAGGAATTGTGGAAACCACATAGTCTGCCTCAAAGCTCGAGCCATCTTCACATTCGACACGTGCAGTTCTTTGTCCATCGGGATCGTAGAATATTTGTTTGACGCTGGTATTCTTCCGAACGTCTAGTCGCGAAGGCATATTTGCCAGACCCCATGCGACATCTTGGTAGCCACCAATTACCATTGTGTGTTTACCTTCCCACTCGTTACCAGCATCGATATCCCAGCCTCCGATACTCAGTTGATTATAATTGGTTGCGTTGCTATACTCGAGATTGGCTATGTGCCAATTCATAAGTCGAAAGTCTTGAGGTGTAAGATCAACAATATTCTTGTACTGCGTAATTGCCTCGTCCATGACAGAGCCAAGGGTGGCATCGGGAGCTTTAGCTGCTGTCTCAAGGTCCAGATCGTAGTCCTCGGTCACATGTTCCTTAAGCGCCCAACCCATCAGACGCGCTTTAAAAGCTGCCTTGAGGGTAGCTGGGGTACCCGGCTCAACATGGGTTCTACCAGTTGCTCGGTCCGTAGAGACGGGGACAAGACTAATTTGGGGCCCTAGGCTCTGCTCTGAGACCGGCGGTGCTTGCGGGAGAGCGGCTGTTGCCTCTTCGACCTGAGCGATAGTCTTTTGACCTTCAGCTGAACTATCTCGACCTTCATCCATCAAGTCCTTGTTGCCTTCAATGAGTTTGGACGGCGGGTTCTTAAACTTATAGTCGCTTACTCGTTCAAGGCAATCGTTGTAGAGCTTTTCGACAAGGCGATCCCGTACATCGTCCACAGCCTTGCCATTGGCGTCGTAGAGGGTAGTGTCAGGTCGTAAAGCATAATAAGGCAAGGCCATCTGTCCTCTCACTAGAATATTTAGTGGATTACCTCGCTCGAATCCAGTGATAATCATGCCTCCACACTCTACACTATGCCGCCGGCCTTGAAATCCTATCAGATGTTGACTTTTGCTACCATCGAGTGCACGTGAGTACACACGACCGCCTAGGCGGTTTCGACCCTCAAGGACAATTATCCTCGGAGCTTCTTCTCCCGAGTGCTGAAATTGTTCATCATATTGGCCAAATAAGCTCTCTAATTGCCTCGCACACCCCAGGCCAGCCATCCCGGCGCCAATGACAACTACTGTCTTTCCCTTTTTGCTCGGTTTGGCATTCGTCGGCCGCTTCTGAGCCGAGGAAACTTCTGCGCAGCCAAAGTTGATATATCCTGATCGGACGAGCCAGTCGTAGCATACGCTTGCAGCGTCGAACCATCTTGGATCCTTGACACACCCAATAGCTTCTTCACGAGAAACTCCGATTCGAGGGTTATTCAACCATAATCGTAGGACCCCGTTTCGAATGTTCAGATATGTAGTCACCTGAGCATGACTGATATGGTTTCTCAACATCAAGTACTCATCCTGATGTAGAGCATAAGGATTTAGTCGAGATGACTCGGCTGCGGCTATGCATTGGTTGGCATACTCATGTGGAGAGATGTCTGTCGGGATAGATACTCGGGGTCGCACGTCGAATGGGCGTCTTTGTGTCTTAGTGGTGGTTTTATTGTCGATGTGGGTCCTCAGCGGTTCTTGTAACGAATCCATGTCAATCGGCGTCGTCGCTTTACTTGAGTGTGACGATAATGGTGGAGATGTCAACTCTGACTGATCTGACATAGTCGAAGTTGATGACCCGAATGAATTTCCAGAGTTCTCGTGAGCCTTTGAAAATTTGGAATTTATTGACGGCGATTGACTGTGATGAGACCTATTATCTGTTTAGGATATGGAAACATAATACTGGAGTTTCGAGACTATGATAGGAGTGATTATTACGGATATATCACATGAGAGACTTACGCGGGATCTTGTCGTGATACAGGCGCAGAGGCCATACTGTCCGGAGACACGTCCATGCCGTCAATTCGAACAACTATTTCAGGTTCTGTCTTCGGGGTGTCTCTTGAGGTAGATAGCTTAGGGTTATATGATTTGAAGGAGTCCGCAAGAAGAGATGCTGGAAGAGTTCTCGTGATATCAGCCGGAGAGGCAAGTATTGATTCTAGATGATGGTCCAATTCCTCTAAGTCCATCAGACGGCCCGACCCTATAAAATTACCCTCCTCCAGCAGGATCTTCTGAGTGCTGCTCATAGCTGACGAGCTCAGATTCCGTGTTGGCCAGAGACATACACATGCATCGATATATGGGTATGAGCGAGGTCGTCCGGGATTCGTGTATGGGGAGTTTGGCCAAGACTCCCATTGAATAATCAAGTATCTCGTTTTAGAATGGCTGTAGGAAATTGACACTTAAATGTCATGCTGACTACCGCAAGTTGTCGGCAGCTTGGTCCTTGAACTCTTGTGGACTCTTGCGGACTCTAGAGAGTCTTGTTAGTCGACATACAAGACTTGCCTCATCAGATCTGGAGGTTTATTAAAGTATCGATCGAATGATCACGCACAGTTAAAATAAGCGGGCCTCGGTACTGTACTCTTATGAAACATAGGCAGATCTCGACTCGATTATAATCGGTTGTTGGCTGTTGGCTGTTGGTTTAGGTCTCGAAACGATTGAACAATTGGAACCTATTACAATGATTCGAGAGGTATTATTTTGCATTAATAGACGTTGGAGAGACTCCCTCGGGTTTTAATAACCCAATCTCGAAGGGGGAGGAGAGTATAAGATTGATATGGACATTGGCGTATTAAGACATGTATGTACACACACATTCAAATCTGCATAAGTAATGCCATATACTGAAAGCCTGAAAGCTCCTCCTAATCTTGCGCTAGCCGCTAAACCTACCCTTGCCCACTCTGCCACTCTGCCACTCTGCCACTTCAATTTTTGGTCTTTTGGGGAGAGTGCTCCGTGCTCCCCGCCGCTACTGCACGTGATCCCCTAGAGTCTTCTGTGTACATATTAACATAAAATCGTCATCTAAAATTGTTGATCTACAGATTCACTCATCTTCAACAATTGACCTTAGGTACCTATTCGTAGTCACCCGGTATCGTTGCCTAGTGTCGTATCACGTCTATAAACCAGCAATGCGTATAATAGTTAGAATAAGTACAATGCTGAATATGTCCTCAATTCGCATCCGCTAATATGTATCCCTCGGGTCTAGATCTTAATAACCCTCATTCACCTTGCCAAGCATAGGTACCATTCATTATCCCCCTACTCGTTGGACCCAGCTATTATATATATATATATTATGTATACATAAATCAGAGCCATTCTTCCCGTATGATCGTATCGTACGCCGGATACGGCTGCTGCCACCTTGGTGGATTTGACACGCGGGAAATAATTGTATTACTGGGCCGTAGACGAAGCAGCAGCCGGCTTAGGTGGCTCCTTCGCAAAGGACTTCTTCTCTACCGCAGCATCCATCATCTTATTCCCGCTAATGATTGAAGTCGTGCAGATTACAATATTCCTCCTACCTAAAAACATTGTTAGTTGATCTGAAGGGACATATCGAAGGGGTAAACACGATACCGACCTTCTTCCTTTTTTGCGATAAATCGCAGCGCAGCGATCTCGGTAAATGTTATTCCTCCCACGAATACAACAAACACCGTCTTCTTGTCGCCCCCTCCAGATAATAGAGCTCGAGCTTTGACTGCCTTGTCTTCGCCCTTTTGTAGCTCGTCAAATGTCTGGCCCCGTGCATGCTTCACAGCCTCATCGAAACCTCGCCATCCTTGCGCACCGCTACTAGCAGCTGTGCTTGCGCCAGTCGTCCCGTTGCCACGTGTAATGGAGAGGAGATATTGCTTCTGCAATATACATTGTACGAGACGGATCGAAAGAGGTGCATAGCCGCTGTATACATATGCGATGTCATTGGGGTCGTGCTCATTAACTTCGTCAACGATTAAACGAAGCTGCTTGCGTAAGTAGGCGTAGTTTGTCTTAGTTCCGGTTGTCGTCCCCGAGCCGGGCATAGGTATCATGCTTGCCATAGGCGAAGCCCGAGATAAAAATAGCTGCAGCTTTTCTAAGTTAACTAAGGTTAAGAAATGTTGGTACCCGTAGCCTTCTAATATCAAACGCCTAAAATGATCAAAGTCTTTTGCTTTGATACCACCGGATATGCATGAATACACGCATAAGAGCCTCAGTATCTCTTGCAACGGCACATCTCTTGCGATTAACTCTTCAATGGCCTCAAATTGGGAACTGGGGTCGGCACCCGCGGCTAGGTTCTGTTGGACTTCTAGCATGCGACTGAATTGATCTGCTCGTGTATGTTTCATAATCTCCTCAGCAAGTCCAGTATGTATTTTCAAGCTCTGATGCTCTGTTTGATAGCCGGGTAACTTTTTCACAAAGTCTTTAAGCTCCGCGGTTGTCCTAGATGCATGGCGGCTATCATAGTCGCTTTGCAACCTCCGTGCAACCTTGTTGAGTAGTGTACCAACAATTGCGAAGTTTGCATCGCGGAGTCCGTCGTAAAGTTTATCTGCAGAGTCCAGTTGTATTTTACGCTTCCTCGAAGGGGCATTAGCCGTCGGAGTAGACGCGCTCTGAGATATGGGTTGTGGCGGAGCTCCCACGATAGTAGAATCAATATCAGCTTGATTATTCTGAATCCCCCAGACCTCATCAATCAGCCCTTCGTATGTCAGTTGCGTAAGTAAGGGCGTAACGAAATCGACTTCGCGGTCAATCAATATCACACTTTCTATCGTGTTGCTTGGTGTAAGCCCAGACCGGGTATTTTCGCTCGCATCTTCCCCAGCCAGCATCTCCTGTCGCATTCTGGTGAGTAATTCCGCCACGCGCTTCGCATTGTCGCCCTTTCCAATGACGCGCGGAAATAGTCCATGTTTAGATTGAATTCCCATCAAGGCTCTCGCCATCAGAAATGTTGGTGTTGTATCTTTGAACAGAAAAAGATCCCTAAAAGAGTCGCCGAGCTCTAGGGATAGGACATCTCGCTCAAGCGGGAAGAAATACAACGGGAGCTCTGCAATGTTCACATCACCCAACACACCGGCTTCCTCTAAGAGCTTATCAGATACTAGAGTACGGCGGGGTACCCAGAAGATGTGGAATTCGTGGCCGGTCTGACTTTCGCGTTGTAGCCGCTTGATATGCTCTGTACTAAATGTCAGTATTTTACGATGGCGTCTTGCGCATTGACTCTAGCGAAGACACTATAGGCCGTGCTCATAAGATTCTCATCTTGGGGCAATATTGACAGGTGTCGTGAATTGGAAAATAACTCTATGGTGCCTATTGAGAGCCCGTGCTTCTTCGACATTGAGAGAGGTGTCGGAGGATGAGAGCGAGGATGAGTATGAGGGAGACGACGAACCTGCTATGGATTGAGCGTGGCGGGCAGACTCCCCTCGTGCCATAAACACGACATTGCGTTGGCTCGTATCGGCATTCTTATTTTCGAGAATGAAGAACTTGTCTACGCCATAATCTTGTAGGGTTGATACCTTGACTACGACACCGATTGGGCCAGCCAAGCTACGCTCGATGACGAGATTCTTCTTCCCGCGAACCTAAGTAGTCGTGTTATTCCCGATTGTCCAAACAAGATGGCAGAGGATTAAGGCAGCCTTACTTACGCCTTCGAGAAGATAAAGAAGGTCCTTTCGAGCCTTGTCTCTAATCTGTTCGGCGTCGAACCCCGCATGAGGAGTCATTATGAGCTCTTCATGGGGGTGGTGCTTGTGAGCGAAAGAGACGGTGTATAGAGTTGGCAAGTTGTAAGTTGTAAGCTGGAAGCTGGAGCTGCAACTGGAGCTTTCTGGAGGAATTACAAATTGAACTGGGGGGGGGTAGCTTGTCAGCTTGTGAGCTTGTCAAGCTTGGGGAACTTTGGGTTAACTTGGGTAAGGTTAGGTGGGTTCGACAAGCTTATCGCTTATTCCAATTTTGGTTAGCCCCACGGCTAGATAGAGATCCGATTGTACATACAAGCAGGAGGGACACGACGTCACAGCTCCGCTCTATAAAATATGTACATGCATGCTGTAAGTTAAATAAATGCCATACTTAAGCCATCACTGATAGGTCCTGTCCTATTGTCGTATCTATCATTTCCCTGTGAATAGCTGCATGGTCGTAAAAATTTAAATTTGGCTAAAAAAAAGAGAGTATTATTTGAATTCTACAAGGAAGCAACATTTAGCTAGGAATGTTATCGAAATGTTATACATCGACCTCAGCGTCACGATTTTGCTCAAGTACCTAAATAATCATATCGCAAAGCCAAGGTACAATTACTCAGAACGTATGATCATGATTGCAGTCGTAAAATGCTAATTGCAAAGGGACCTTTGCTCCTATGTAGATGTCTCATATGGACGATCGCATGCCGCCTATCCACGCAATGCCTATCAGCTTCATGCTGCTAATATCATAAGAGGATTCAGCCTGACTGGATGAATCTCCTATACCTTAAGTGTCCAACAAAGTACGCTTCGCAGATCTAGCCCAGGCAACAGTTATGCAAGTGAAACAAGGTATTTCGAGTCTCAGAGAACCGCCCAGTTGTGAAACCGCCACTGGTAACCCTACCAGGGAATATAGAAGATAGACACGATGCTTTTATACGGTGTTATCGTGATAGTAGAAATCGATGTCTCTAGGTCGCAAGCGGTTTCCGCGTACGAATTCTTCGTCGCCGGGTGGACGTTCGCTCTTGGTGTTTCCTGTCAGCATGCTCTGGATGCTCATGCATACGCTCTCCACGTTCTGGACAGGGCTCCATCCTTGCGACCCGAGTAAGTCGAGGCATATGATTCCGTTTGAGTAGATGTGAGGGTGCATGGGTATCGGACGGTTCTCTAGCTTCACGAAAGTCACTTCGGGAGGTTCTATTACGTTCGCGTTAGTTCTCCGCCTCCAGTGCAGTGGATAGCGAGAGGGCCTACCAATGGGATACGAGGTGCTGAACTTGAACTTTAGACGGTACGTCTGGCCTGCATAGATTGGATTCTGGTCCAGAACCTGGATGTCAAGAAACCACTCTTCAAGGTTATCTGCAGAGACTAAAGCAATGCCGGGAGGCAAGCTATTCGAGATCTGAAAGCCAGAATCTTGTTAGCAATTTCATATTGTGAGGACAATTGTTTCTTATAAGAATCGACAATACCTTAGCTAGCTCCTTTGTCAACCTCCTAGGACCTAAGTTGGCCATTTTGACACGGAGAATAGGCACGCGAAGAGGCGCAAGTAGGTTGATGTTCAATGTTGAGTGGCGTTGCTTGACTTTACCGCTAATTAGGTTAACCCCCGCGATTTGAGTTGCTCGCCAAACTTAAGCGGACTTGGAAGCAACCCGAAAGAGCATTAAGCGATCGGGTGCGGTTAAGGGTTAAGGGATGAGGCAGCGGTACGGGAAATTCTTCTGGACAAGTTAGACGGTGTACAAGGCGGTTTGGAGAGCTTAAGCTTAGGTAGGTAGGTTAAGGTACCTTATGGGTTGGAGTAGCTAAAGTCAAATTGAGGTGCACATTGTCTGTATAACATAAGCTCCTCCGAGACCAAAGACGGCAGGTCTAAGGAGGAAAGTAACCGATCTGTTCGATATGTACTGTACAATTTTATTGCAGGAAGCAGCGAACGAAGGACCCCTAAAGCTTGAAACTAGAGTTGCCCCGCAAAGTGAAGTTTCAACAAAGCTACCTGAAGTAGGCGCGTAGCATTCGGCCTGACTGCCAGGTGACGTTAGTATTTATACCGACCTACCTACCTACACGAGTAGCCTATGGATCCTGGTTATCGATAATAAGCGCCGCGCAGATGACTCCTTCCGTTAGCGTATAAGGCAGGAGGTAGGTACAGTTAAGTTAAAGATGCATAAGAAGAAACATCATGTACCTATTGTACAACGGCCATAAGGGCAAATTGTCCAGATTCACTCTGCAAATAATAAGATATTACTTAGGTAAGTCAAACAAATTAACATGATCAGTCCCATAATCTTATATATACATATAGTATGATCACCTAAAGTCTAATGTATTGGAACGCCTTAGTCATATTATACCTGCTACTCTTTACTTGAGGGTGCGCCGCTTCAAGTTAATATTACATATGTTCTATATAGGTTTCTCGCATGTGATACGGCCAGTCCACACTGCACTAATTACTCATGTAAGCCCATTATCCTCAAAGGTTCTTATAACTTACATACGTGGTGGTTATTCAAATAAATACACACGCAGGCAAAGGATTCATTTTCCTTTTTCTTTCAAACCCACATCATAGAATGTGCCATCGGCATTGGAACTAAGTTATGGAAATCTTGAACTTTAGGTAGTTACTCCAGAAGGATTATCATACTCAGCCACAGCCCTGTGTACTTCCATACATACCTAACCTAGGTATCCTCTAGTGAGGCAACCCAAGGATGGCTTGCTGCTCAAGTACCTATGCTGGCGCGAGCTAGTTGTGGCCGACATTCCGGATTCCGAAGATGCGCTTCAACCAGGTGAACCAGGTTATCTAATTACACACACTCGAGCCGTCCACCGAATTCAATTCATGGATGATGAGTTATTGGAGCTATGTATGTATTAGGCTGGGACTGCCCCAGTATTGCGGCTGAGTCGCCCTAGCACATGCGCTATTGAGGGCTACTTAATAACCAATATCATCAGCAACATGAATACTGGCGATGATGCTGGGATGCACAAGCTGCCTCTCGATAGGCGCAATGCAATACGCGGTATTCGCAACCCCACCTACCTGTTAGGCAAGGTACCCGGCAAGGCTTTCTCCGAATATATCACATCACATCATATCACATACAACTGTAAGGTAAGGTAAGGAAAGGAAACACGAAAAGGTTACCTCCAAACTCAGCCTACCTACCTACATACATAGGTAGCCAGGGTGTTAGCTGCAAAACACATGGGATTGTAGGGTCATGTCTTTGTGGACCTGACAGCTGATACAGATATATATATTTCTCCCTGTCTCTCAACTCTTTTTGTGTCCACAAATTACACAAATTACACAAACTACCTCATCCTCCACGTCAAGTGATTATCCCGTACCAGCGATTATCAAATTAATACGGCAACCATCAATCGGCAACCATATGACAGAAAGCGGAAAGCCCCTCGATCCAGTTTTATAAGAGTCGATCGAAATTCAGCTGTTCCTGCCCTAATACACGTAATTAAGAGGAGGGGTCCATCAGACGGAACTATCAGAGAGGGGCCACTTCTACCACTTACAGATTTACCCCATAGAGGTACCTAACCTAAGGTATTGTAGGTACAACATTTATTATTACAACAAGTACGAGTACAAGCTACGTATACGCGTATTATATGGTATTTTACATCAAATCCAGTACCCGTACCCGTACCCGTACCCAAACCAACACCATTCGGTACCCTGCTACCCTGCTACCCTGTTACCCTGCTACCTCGTGTATCTGACAATCCACCTGCGACTTGCAATTCATTCACTCATTCATTCATTCGCTTTTCAAGCCCAATACCTACCTACCTCTTTACCGTATGGTACCTAACATACATATCTCTGACCTGCATACATTACAGAACGTTATCTAGAGCAGCTGAAGCCTTCTACTTAACTTCCTATTCTCCTTCCCCTTCTTGGAGAGGGGATCGTTCCTTTCGACTCCACGAACCTATCGACCAAAATAACATACCATCAGCCTAGGAAGCCCCTCACAATTCATCGATTCTCCCTGTTCAGCTTACCCCACGTCGCAATGAGTTGTGAGTTCTCTCTACCATTCTCACTTGTCATCTCAGCCCCCAATGCCTAATCCATGTCTCCCCTCTTTGTTTCAGGGAAAAACAATAGAGTTGTCTCGGCTATGTCCTCGTCGATTCGCTCGTTGCTAGTCTCAATCCCTTCGTCGAAGCGTTGAGTGTATAATGCCAAATATAGCCACCACTCTTTACTAACTACAACACTCGTGTAGTTAACGCCATGTTTAGCAGCCTTCGAGGCCAGCCGGAAAGTTACGAAAGAAAGGCGAAGTACAGATTTGGTCGAACCCTTGGTGCGGGTACATACGGTATCGTGCGCGAAGCAGATGGCCCCAATGGCAAGGTCGCTATTAAGATCATCCTCAAGAAAAATGTCAAGGGGAACGAGCAAATGGTTTGGGACGAGCTAGATATGCTCCAGCGTCTCAAACACCCTCACATTGTTCGCTTCGTGGATTGGTTTGAGTCAAGGGTATGTCCTACTAATCCAAGCATAAGTACTCTCGAGCGGACTTCGATTGACCCTGTGACGTATAGGATAAATGGTATATTGTCACCGAGCTCGCCACTGGCGGTGAACTTTTCGATCGCATCTGCGAACAGGGCAAGTTCACAGAGAAGGACGCTTCACAGACCATCAGACAGGTCCTCGACGCCGTCAGCTATCTCCACGACAGGAACGTAGTACACCGAGGTACGTAGCAAAAACAGCACCGCCAGTAGCTACATAATAGTTATCTAACCGTATGCAACTAGATCTTAAGCCCGAGAATCTCCTCTACCTCAGCAAAGACTCCGATTCCGACTTAGTCTTGGCAGATTTCGGAATTGCAAAGATGCTTGATACCAAGGATGAGGTCCTAACTACAATGGCGGGGTCTTTCGGTTACGCAGCACCCGAAGTCATGTTGAAGAAAGGTCATGGCAAGCCTGTGGATATGTGGTCGTTGGGTGTCATCACTTACACTCTTCTCTGTGGTTACTCTCCCTTCCGCTCTGAAAACCTGCAGGATTTGATCGACGAATGCAGTAGCGGGAAAGTAGTCTTCCATGAGCGCTACTGGAGAGATGTAAGTGACGATGCGAAGGACTTCATTATGCGCCTCTTACAACCGGATCCGGAAGACAGGTGGTCCAGCAAGGTATGTCGCGTTTATCTTCCACCCCAGTTTCTACGTCCCCGTATTAATATCTCTATAGCAAGCACTTAAGCACCCCTGGCTCAGCGGCGAAAATGCCTCAGACCACAACTTACTTCCTGAGATCAAGGCCTACATGGCCAAGGCAAGACTCCGCCGTGGTATCGAACTCGTCAAGTTGACAAACCGTATCGAGGCGCTCAAGCTCCAAGAAGACGATCCAGAGCACCCCGACTTTGCCGATGATTCAGCAGCTCCAGCCAGCCAAGGATCAGACAAGCCCACGTCACCAAAGGAGGAGACCGGCAAGGGCAAGCTCACGCGCGCAATGAAGGGCGCCATCTTCCGCGAGGTGGTTCTGGCTAAAGTCCGCGAGATGAAGGAGCAAGAGCAGACCCTGAAGGTCACGGAAGAAGTGGAAAAGGAAGCGAAGCGGAAGAGTTTCCAGGGTTGAGCAAATAAACCAAAATTGTGCTAGGCGCATCTTAGCGATATAATAGATACCCCCTTCCAAGCATGAAAGGGCAATAGGAATGGAAAGATATCAAGGACGGCATGATTAAAATCGTTTGTCATAGCTGAGACATTACAATGCATAGCAGGCAGGGCTGACAAGACGGAAGAGGTGGTTGGCTATTAGTTCGGGGAAGCAGATATATTCGTGTTCTTTCTATTCCTGTTTCCCCCTGATATCCGTTTCGCGTTCGGTTAAGACTTGTCGGGCCTGGTTTTTATTAAATACTACGTTCCTCTTCGTTTCGTCTAGTTCCTCTTGCGGTTGCTGATGGTTTATCGATGCGCCACGGACGCGTGTTAATTATTTTATTCGATATCATAGGGGACACTACGTAGTGGGTAGGTCAGAATAGGTAATTGAAAGTTGGCGAGATCAGTTTTGTACTGCCTTTGTTCACAGGTTTAGTTGATTGATTCTTTCTTTACTTCACGGCTATAAGAACGCGGGGTTTGGCAGGATTATCTGATAATTAAGTCGGTAGGTAGGTACGTATACGTGTAATAACGTAGATCATTAAATGTATATTTCTCCCCTCTCCCTTCTCCCTTCTCGTTCGGACCAGCAGGAACAGAGAGAGAGAGAGAGAGGAATATTACGGGAATCGTAATCCCGTAACGACAGCAGACATACACGTATAAATACATTTCCTCGTGCCAAGTTCATCGTGTCTCCTCAAGGACAGCTTCTCCTTACAGGCATATTCACTTCCGCCCCTCGTCCTCCTCATTTTTTGGCAGATTGTGCGCGTCCCACTGATTTGCTTTGGGTGGCCTCGTAGCCGGGTATAATGATTACCAGGTGAATGAAAAAAAACAACATGCTTCCCCGTCGGCTTTCGTCACATGCAGTTTGGACTCCTGACTCCTATTTCCGTGTCACTTCCTGCCTTTCCTTCCGCCCCTTCCTGGAAAAAATGAAATAAATGTACTAATGGTATGCAATATACAAAGCAAGAATCGAATCAAGCATACTCCTCCCCCTTTCTAATACACGGGCGGGTGAAGAGTTCGGTGTCTGAGCTAATTGGTTATGGCTAAGCTCATATGAAGTTGGTAGTGCCTATTCAGGTTTTAAGCCAGGATTTGCGTTGCCAGATAAAGTGCTTGGTGCGAAAAGCATCCTATGCAAGTTCACCAAGGGCCTGTTCTCGCAGGGCTTCGTATCGTCTATTGTCGAATCGCTTTCTCTGCCAGCCGTTAGCGCGCAGGCGCTCTATGCGTTGCTTTAGAGCTTCGTCGGTACAGCGTATGGTTGAAGCTGCAGATGCCGGTCGGCTGATTGCTCTGGGACTGTCTGGGCCGGGCGAGTCGGTGAAGCGGTCTCGTTGACCAGAGTTTGTCCACGGTAGCGAGTCTGATCCGATCTCAACGGGCAGAGTGTTCGCACGAGTTAGTCGCATTCTACCAAAGGGCGACGAAGGTACAGGGGAAACGTCTTCTGGCAGTGCTGGCGCAGGTGACTCCGGTGTATCATTAGGTCCAGCGAGTAAAGTCTGAACTCCGTCGCGATGCCAGGATATTTGTGAACGCAAGGCTGAAAGCTGTGCGCACATCCTATTCATCGAACGTGTCTGCAAGAATGCGTCAAGATCGAATTTGTCGTCCGCGATGCTTAACTCCTCCACAGGCTGGGAATCACGAGGTACGGAGCGTTCTGGTATTGTAGGTTGTAGTTCAAAATGCGATTCTGGTTCTTTAGGCTTGGATTTCGATAAAGGTGCCGACTTCAACTTGTTTGCCGAGAATAGGGGAAGAGAGCTATCCGAGTGGTGAGGAACGATGTCATCCTCCCATCCCAAGGTAGGACTATCTGGGCGAATATATGGTTCAGGTTGGAACTCGATAAGATCGGTCAGTCCGGAAAAGGAAACCTTCTTCTTAGCCTTAGCCCCTGGTTTCGGACTTGGCTTTATCACGGCCTCGTCTCCTGTTGAACATACCGAAGTCCTAGGTGATGAAAATGTCGTGCTTGAGACTGATGATCGTACACTAGGCGACAATCCTGGGGAGTGTAGGCTAGAAGCAGTGGAGCATGACGACGCAGATCTTGTCTTTCGAGTTATGTTTTCCTCCGTGTTCTGGATCAACGCCTCGGCCTTACCGTAGTGGACCTCGGCATCGCTAAGTAACCTGGTGCGGTAAGTGGAGGAGTACGATAGTGGCCTGGCGCAAAGCTCGAAAGAGGAGGCGGCATAGAAGTGTAGATAAATCAAGTAAAGAGGCTCCACATTAGATGCGTCTTTGAGGTTATCTATAATCTCGCAGCATCTTGCTGAGCATGCTCGGTACTTGTGGTTAAGATACTTTCGCTTGACCTCATCTACAGCATTCTTCCACTCCAATGGAGTGGATGGAATGATGGGCAAGGCAGGCGGTTCAATAGAACCTCGTCTTGCTGTCCTGATAGTTGGTAAAGACCGTTGCCGGCGATGAATTAGGGATGATGGTGGAGATGGAAATAAAGACGGATCCAGTGACGCTCTGCGATTTATCTCGATAGTAGAGCCAGTGGTTGATTTGCACACCGCGGACGATGGTAGTAGCAACGGTATTAGCCCAGTCATGATTCTTGTTGCTAAAGCAAACGTGGTTGCAATCGTGCCGTGATAATGATGGCGTCCCGGATTCGGTGAGGGCCCACGTGAATATACTCGTCCTGTTATCCGATGTTATACCAAGAGTGAGACAGCAGCTGAGAGGGAAGTCGATCGACAATGCAGGCTGCCGAGAATTGAGGCAGCACGACTAGGTTTTCATCGGAGAATGACACAACAGTAGCGAAGCGCGTGAGTCTGTATATCGAGCAAGCTGAAAATCTGTGAGACCGATATGTATTTGATGATGGATATTCGGGTATGACAGACGATGGTCGAGGCTCCGGACTAAGATGACAGCTGTAACTCGAAAATACCGGAGTAGTCTGAAGTTATTTTCCATGCAACTCCTCCTGAGGTCCCTGACGCGTCAACCGTTCCCGTGGCAACTCCGAGCAAACCCGTATCGACGACAACGCTCAAAGTTAACTGAGTCACAAGAGACGTATCCCGGGGAACTATTCAGTCAGGATATTTCCGCTTTTTTAACCAACCCTTAATCCAAAAATGGAATTCGATCCTTCAATGCCGATAAAAATTGAGCCGTTTTACCGAAATGACTTTTGGTTTTTGGACCCCTTTTGTGCCGTTCTGAGGCGGCTGGCAAAATACAAAGTCGACCGGCGCAGGCTGGGGATCTAACACAAGCACCCTTCACTTTTCAAGTTTGTGGAATCGATTGAGAAAGCAAAGTCCGAGAGTTTAAGATGACGACACAAACGAAAGCCAACGAGGCCAGGTTTACGTACTATACGAAAGTATAACTAGCAATAAACTCGAAAAAGAGAAGCCAAGTTGCTGCAGATGCGGAACAGGGGGTTTGTCCCTATTGACGCAGATACTGTCAGAACTGTCAGAACTGTCAGAAGCAAAAATAAAAATGTATTTTTTTGAACAGTGTCTCAAATAAGCAAAAGGGACGGACGACATCAACCAAACCAAAGAGTAGAGATATTCAAAGGAGATATCCGGGTGGCATCTCTATGCATATTAATCTTACAATTTCCGAGTACCCACGAGTTGGATATTGGTGCCCTGTCCCGTTTAAGTCTGGGGTATCATGTGTAAATTTACTTTGATGAGGTCAAAGCATCCGCCCGCAGAACTGTAGGCTAACCTTGAATTGGCTGCGGGTTCGTGTGAGGAAAGTGATCGACACCAGCATAGAATACACTAAGAGAACCCTTGAAAGGTTAGGGATTATGAGATGCCAAAGTCTAGAGGGCTAAAGGCTGGAGCACGATGCTACTACAGCGTACTACCCAGCAAGACCTGCAAGACCTGCAAGACCTGCAAGGCCTAGCAAGCAAATGTATGACAACCAAGTTCAGGACGAAGTTAACATTCAAGCCATTCCGTTTCCGTCGACTTGATTTCTTCTTCTTCTTCTTCTTCTTCCACCACTCTTACTTTTACTCTTACTGTTTGCTGCAATGTGTCGTACATAACGCACTAGGCTAGAAGCCATTTCTCTTTGAGGGATAGACTGATACGAATGTCGTTGGTGATGAACCGGAAAGAGTCAAGATCCGAGCGGTAGAAGAAAATGACACGGCGTAGAAAAGGGATCGAAATTTCATGAATTCGCGGCGGGTGGAAAGTGTCAAAACCTGAGTGTGAAACGGTAAAAAGGCAGGGCAAGTTTAACCAAGAAGTGGCGGGCCGCATGGTGGCAGTTGGCAGTTGACAGGTGGCAAACATTACAAACATTAGGAGCAATCGCGCTGCCATATCCATAGGCAGTACATACATTATTAGGTAGGTAATTGCAGCCGATGGCGTTAGCGTTACTTTAGCGTTACTTTAGCGTTACTTTAGCGTTACTTTAGAGTCTGTTCCATCCTTGCTCAACTGGCCGAGAAGCGTGGTTCAAGGTTCATGATGCCCTTTTTCCCCTTGCAGAAAATCCCAGGGAACGAAGCTAGGTACACTATGTTGGGTACCTCATATGTAGTAGTGTAGACTCTAGAGATGAATGGAAGTGCCCCCTTCTTCACATCCCTGTCTCGTACTCCTTATGTACACCATAAACGGTAACGCCATAACAAAATTTACGATGATACTCTCAGATACTTATAAGAAACGGAGATGGCCTACATGTACATAATGCACTATGCCTCATTAGGTACAGATACGCAAATATTATTTGCAAAACATTTATCCTATTTTCTATCTCTACCCAAAATATAAGCTGATACCATCGTTCTTCTACTTTACGATATACGCGCCGGCGTATTTATTAAATATTCAAGTATTTCCACCTAGTTACTCTCACTTCTACACTACTTTTACATACACTTGCCTTGTATGTACATAGCGGCAGTGCACGGACAATAGACGAGCAAAGTCAACAAGAGCGTAACATCGTGGCATACAGGTATCAAGCTGCACACTGACCCCTATGTGATCTATGTGATCCACGGTTCTCAAGCCGATAAGGAAATCCGTAAAATACATACATATCCCCCCTCCCCTGACCAGACGTTGGGGACGAGAAGAGGACATGTCCAAACTCGTGTCACAGTGATACGCTGCAGCAGAAACATTTCGTCAATAAACAACGCTTGTTGCTGCGATGCAACTTGCAGTGCATATATTAATTACGTCGTAATGGCTATCTACCGCTGTGCTCCTGCAGGACCAGCGTCCACGAACGGCAGGAGAATTTCTCGCGTGGTCTGTTCGCCAGACTAGCGGAACACCCCCTAATGGTCTAAATGTTCAACGTCTGCGGCGTTTCCTGCACTTTTGACATGGCTTGGGCTTCATGTTCAAAGTACGTAATGGCGATGAGGGGTTCTCAGCGAATCTTGCTCGAAATGACGTGCGGGGTGGAATATCTTTGTTCTTGGCGACATCGTGATGGCCTCATCTGAAGTACAGATCGTGTACTCCTACGATTCCCACTCTTATCACGACGATATCCTAGTCTAAGCCTTATTCTACCTTGTTCATCACAACCAACACCATGGCGGATGGCGGATGGCGGATATCGGATATTGCTACGGGTTTACTCTTGTTGCGGTTGCATTCTAAACGCTACTCTACATTGTATGTAGTAGAGCAACTTGATGAGATATGCCAAGAGTCTACCTTCACGGCAGAGCCCTTTGCAGGAGGATCGACAAGCAGAATGCTCGCGTTCTTTTACCCGTTTTCTTACCAGTAAAAACTTTGCCATTCCGTTGCTACATTACAAGACGAAAATGGGCTGGCTAAAAGTAAACGACGATCTGTTCCCATTGCACATATTTCATATTATACTATTATTCTCGTAGAATATGGATCTCGTTTTCATGTAAGATTACCTACCTACTACCGCCCGATATGTTCGTCCAGTCCGTCTCTTGATTTTCATAATACCGGTGCAAGACCGCTTTAAGCCAGAGCTATTCCCCGTTCTGCCATGGCGGGTGGGGCGTCGGAATATTTAAATGCAATATTTCCACGCGAACCACTCGGAAACGGATATTAGACCGCTAGTACCTGGCCGCTTTGACAGAGAGAGGCTTTCAAAATCATAGCGTGGAGGATTTGAAACATAATTATGAAGGGATTTTTATTTATTTACATGCTTATTTACATGCTTAGGTAATTTCCATATTAGTTCTAGACTTGAATAGGTATCTCTGTGTTGATACCTGAAGTTGATACCTGAAGTTGATACCTGAAGTTGATACCTGAAGTTGATACCCGAAGTTGGATACTGGAAGCGAAGCATCGTCTAGCCTCTCTCGGATAAGAACAACACCGGCACCACCGTTTCAACCGTCGCCGCAGTCTTGCCAAGTCATGTGCCGTAGACTTTCAAGCCTACGACACTCAGACCTCTAGTTGTCATACCGGGTTATAAAATCCAGTTCGTGCTATTTAAACCCTACGAAGGAACTCACAAGGATTGACCGTGATTCTTTCATACGTCTCGTAGTTCTTTGAGGCGATCTAGCAACCTTAGTTTGACTTCGTAGTGGTCAGTGTCTCGCATGTGTAAGCCCGCCCTGATCTTCCCCGGCATGCAGAAACCCTGACACCGGCTTCCTTCCGTCACTGGACGTGCACAGCCCTACATGGATTTTCTTGGTCTAAGCAGTTGAGATAGGTAATGTTGAAACTTGACGTGCATATACTAGATCCGCAAAATAGACTTGCTGCGAGCCTTCGTCTGATGTCTCTCTGCTTCTGCAAAAACCGGTTATGACCCCTGGATCTTGCTAGGAGATACATACCTGCGAACTTGTCGTATTAGGTAACTGTCTTGACGACGACGGATCGTTCGATATTGGCGACCTTGGTCGGAACTCGCGGCCGCTTCTGCTCTGCAGCTGTAGGTGCAGATGTCAGCGGTGAGGGGACTCACGATTAACTAGTGCCGCTCCAGACCCTTTTCCCGTGAACTTTTCACTACATACCCTCGATATAGTGTATACCTCAATGGAGCTAAAAGGACTAGTTACCCCTATCAAGTACTCGCAAAATACAATACCTTACTGAAGCTTAGCAGTCTAGTAGCGCTTAACTTATAGCACCGTAGCTATGTGCCTCGCCATATTTTAGATAGCAAAGTAACGTTACAGCGCAATGTACGAAGTAGGTAACTAACCTAGAGAGCTGCGGGCTGTTCCTATGTAACAGCACTCAGGTTTAAGAACACTGTTCGACCTCACTGTCATATCACTATACCAAACCTTCTCCCCGGGGTTTCCATTGTGTTTTATTTCTATTGGCTGCTTCTTAGTTACGATCAAGTACCGTATTGGCCATTCTCGTTTCGGGCTTGGTTACATGACGTAGAATTCAAGATTCCCGAGATTCACGGTTATATTGTTCGAGTTATTGTATAACATCTTGGTTATTTCTGATCGGGTAGCGGAAATGCACGCCATGGTACATTAGGTAGTTTGGCATGGTATTTTGCGTGATATCTGCATCGAACCTGGCATTCTAAAAAATAAAGAAATCTAGGCAAGATACGTAGGTATATACATAGTTATCATCAACTATCATCAACTCGTATGATGCGTAGTCTGGTAATTCAGCACCTCGCCGAAAAGGGGGATACCTACATGTAGGTAAGTCTCATCAATGTACCCAAGTACCTGATAAGAGGGAATATTGATTGGCTGGTCGCAAGTGCTTAAACTTAAGACATAATAAAGGCGCAAAGCAATTACTACAGTTAAGCCAGTTTGGCCGAGGTATGTTTTTACCAGAACTTGTCCTAAAAATCACGCACTAACAAATCCGTAATAGTGGTCTAAGGCGGTGGTTTTAAGTCTTCAAGATCGTGAACACCATTATCGAGAGATGCGCAGGTTCGAACCCTGCAGCTGGCAACTTAATTTTTTCTACTTTTTTGCTGTTTTTCATTTTTCATTTTTCATTCTGTTTTTATCCTATTTCTATTGTCGTTTGCTTGTGTTTCACTAGATCCTTTCTCTTTTGCATACGGCCAGGTTTAATAGTTTAATACTCTGATTGGTACTCTAGGTTAAGTAGAATATTCATATAAATATCGGTTCAGGATAATGTCAGTTACTAGCTAGCAGCAGGCCTGCATCATATCTTATATAAGACTATTCCATTCTATATACGCCCCTAACTAGATGTACATCCTCTCCTCGTCGTCTTCCTTACTCCTTCACTTCCCCTCCCCCTCCCCCTCCCCCTCCCCCTCCCCCTCCCCCTCCGTCTTCTTCGCATCCTCAACCAACCTCTCAGCAATCTTCTTATGTATCCCCCTCCAATTACTCTCAACCTGGCCCTTCACAATGCTTAGCAGCAGCTTGGAGCAACTAATCGTAACCTCCTCCACCAGCTCCAGTCCCGCTTCTTCATCTCCCCCCTCCCCATCTCCCCCCGCACCCTTCCTCTCCCGTATCGACCACCTAGTCTCCATAACCACCGCCAGCGGGCTGCGAATCCTCACCCACAAGCCATCCTTGAAGTCCACAAACTCCTCGTTGCTCACGACGCTCGAGCTCCACACCGGGTTCGGCACGTGGTCCACGACCTCGTATAGCTTGACGGCGGGCTCGCCCAGCGGCTCCAGGTCCCGCGGCAGCTGGTACGCGGATTTGGCGGCCGCGGCGTCGGCGCTGGTGGAGGTGGGGGGTAGATCCCGGTGCGAGACGTAGTGCGGCTCGCACTTGAGGTAGAAGACGTGGTCGTGCAGGAGCTCGACGGCGGCGGCCTTGGTGATGCGGGTGTGGCCCTCGGAGGGGATGGGCGAGGTGTTGACGAGCTTAGTCGTTCCTGTGAAAACTAAGTCCGGAGGGTTAGTTGTTTGATTATTCTACATGACTATGTACATAGGTAACCTATGGAGCTAATATATGTATACATATATATATGTGTGTGTGTGTGTATCCGCAGTGATCTACGTAGATAATGAGAGTATAGGGTATAGCACCAATGCAGCTGAAGATGTGATAGCAATATCTCACGAGTAACAGCGCTGCGGGGGGACAGGAATAGGAACAGGAATAGGGACAGGAACAGGGACAGGGACAGGAACGGCAATGAGAGGGGCAAATCGGAGGATATATATGTACATGTATGTATGTATGGTATTGTACAGAACTTACACGACATTATTCAAAGCTGCTTCTGCAAAGTTTCAATCTGATATAATATCTTCAAGTCGATCTGTCAATTATTTCAAACGTAAATATTGGGCAGTCGTATCAACCAGTCTACGATATTTACATATTATGTATTCCGTACTATACCAATCCTACCTACTAAGCCTTAGCTAACATGAGCTCGGATACCCTGACATCATGAACCATAAACGGCTAAAGGGGCTATCATATGGCTGTCATGCTTCTAA